AACATTTGATAAAGCGCCCTATCTAGCTAACATAAGCCACTCTAAAGCGCTTTACAGTACATAGATATACAATTTTATACAGTCAATACAATTAGCATATATATTAATCAATACAATATTGAGGAATTCGCAGGAGCTGCCTCATCAGGCTCTAAGTACTAGTCCTATGCCACCTGGCTAATATCTCCCTATGTTTGTATGTGTGTGTGTGTGCTGGAGATGTATTGTGTTGCTTATCGTGAATATTATTAAATGTGCTAAAATCATAGTCACTTGAAATACGTTCCCTAAAATCATTTTCCTGTTTGGTTAAAACAGACACTTTTCCAGTGTCTCTTATCAGGAAAATTACAATGATCTATAATTTCATGCACATATTTGTTCAGACTATACTTCTGAATTATTCTTTATGAAATTGGACAGAAAATCAATCGATTCAAAAAGATCTTAAATGATGACGTATTCCTACCAATTCTACATAACGTTAGCCTATTAAAAAATAGTAAACTCTGGACGTCAACAATAATTTCTATGGATTACCATTCTATTAGACTAACAGCATATATTTTCCCATAAACCCATCATCACGGCAGTGTTAAATACTTTACGGAAATCAACATAGGAGAAATAAACGAATAGTAAGTGCATGCAGGGAAAATAAACGGAGTACGTCGTGCATGCATCATATTTTCTGTTGTAGAAAAAACCTATCCTATTTCTAAATTCAGCTAAATAACAGTGATTTCATTGTTTATCAAGTAATTAATGAATCAGCGTATCCATACAGATACAGATATTATTTAGTACTAATCACGACAACGCAAAACGAACGCACCAGTACAGTCGCGTCCTTCCGGTACAGGCAAGTACGAGTACAGTCTGGGATGTACGCTGACAGGTCCTTATGGGGTCATTCTCACTTGACAGTTCGGGTCTCACTAAAATGCGCCATAGGAGAATTAGCGCCATAGGTACGCCATAGGAGTTTTTGCACGCCATAGCAAAATGTAAGTGTTATATCCAGGAAAAATGTTTCCATTGGCATACATATTTAACATGTTTAGGTAAAGTATCATTTAAAAAAATGTGCACTTTGTTAGAAAATCGATCTTAATTACGAAGCACTTTTACACTAAAATGCGCCATACGTGTTTTTTCACGCCATAGCAAAATATAAGAATTATTTTCAGCAAATAACTGTTTTTCCCCTTTGGTATATGCCTTTAACAGGTTGTGGTAAAGTTTCATTCTTAAAAATCACTGTGAGTGTGGAACCAGTTTGTGAGAAACTTAATGCAAAACACAAGGTTCAACATCAAAAGCCAACTACTTTTGCCCAAGTGCTATATAATGCTATTGTTAATCATGTATCGTCTCATTCTGTGCCGTCTCCGGGACCACGTTTTGTAGCTGTTAGGTCAGTGCCGACATCAGTCCCTGAAGCATGTGTTTCTATCGACAGCAAGGACATGCTAGTATTTTTAACAGAAAAAAAAAATGATCTTCCTCAAAGAATTGTGTATAAGTAGACATTGTCATACATTGAACACTGTTATTAGCATAATGATTTGTGAATCTTAGATCATGACATTCTAGAGGATACTTATTCATTTTTGATGGACGTTGTTCCCCAATGAAGCCTATAGTTTATACCTAGATCAACCATTAACATTTCATTATATCAATATTTTGGCCAGAAAATAACTTTACCATATCATGTTACTTCATTGCTGTGTTAGTAGTAATGTGAAATTAGCTGTCAGTGCTGCAAGTTTGTTCATTTTTGATAATTATTCAATCATTTTGATTTCAAAAACACTTTTTTGGTACACGTCATGTATAACTGTTACAAGTAGTTGTGTACAGGAAACCGTATGTAAATTGTATAATCGTTTTATTTTTTTGCCTATATCAAATTAGTAAAAAAAATGATGCCAGTATAGCATTAGAATATTTATTCAATTGATGGTTGTTTGAAAAATTAAGGGGTAAATTTTTGATTTGCCGGGGGGATGTTATATACATGGTATATATTATATTATAACCATCAATAGAATATCCGGAATTAGCCGTTTTTGTGTATTATGCTATTCCGTCGCCTATCTCGTTTCTTTGTTATATTGTTTGACTTGCTGTTCCGGGAATAAAATGAAAAGTTGAAGAGTGAAGTTGTTTCGATTCATCTCAGTTTTTGGTTGAGGCACAGGGGCACGTTACAAATGTCTGAAATACACACATATGCTATACTGATATGGGTCACAACACCCATATCAGTATAGCATATGTGTGTATTTCAGACATTTGTAACGTGTCCCTGTGGTTGAGGTACAGGTATTCACAAGAAATTACCCTCGTTTCGAGTCTAATTTCACCAGTCCTTTACGATAGCAACTGTATAGGTGAAACGTTATTTGATACCTAGTAATCCCATTTTCAATTTAACAGGCATCTTATCATCAAATCTATAAATTAAACCTTTAAGCATGTTTTATTACGTAATAACTTATTAACGTTTGATCCCATTCTTCAGTTTGTATTGACTGATGAATGTGCTTTCCCTTTGTAGTGTAGATTGTAGCATAGCCCATTAATGGAGTTGCATTTATGACAGCCCAGGCTCATAGGTCAGATGGCAACAAGCCAAACCCCACATCTAATACACAAACAGTCCGCACCAACTGAGGGGAGAAACAACAATAAAAAACGTTATCATTAATACTCTATCTAAACTGATAAACTTGAATATTCCAAGGCAGTCCAGCTGCATCTATTTTTTCCTACACAGCACAGTATTGTAACAAAGAGAAAGGTTCAATAGCCCCCTTCTCCCGCTTTGTATTTTCCAGTAATTCATACAAGTAAAAAATATCTTTCGTAAGATAACAATAAGAAGGTACAGTTACCATCGATGGAATGAAAATAGTCAGGGTATTGCACAAGAATTATTTTCTTAATAAAGTTTTGTTTTTATTTGTACCATGTAAGTGACCGGTATATAAATGGTGTAAACAAACCTATTTATACATTTGTGTTAAGCGTGAATACATAAATAATTTCTGACAATACTCTAGAGTACTACAATACTAGAATAATACTCTGACATGTTTTCTTGACAAATAATTACACAAATATATGTGAAAACGTGAATTTATTTATCTGCATTAAAATAATCGAAATATGCCAAAATAAGTTTTTATTATTTTGACTGCTCTATCTGACCATCATACATTTGCCAAACAGATTGTATCAATTATTTTATGGATTACATAAAAACAATATTGCATGTATTTAATTGTGTAGAAGAAGTTAAAAGTAGATATCTTGACAAACATAAACAACATCCTTCTGTTTGTGGTTGGGTCATTTCGAACGACTTTTCTGTTTAATAGTCTCCTGGTGAGAGCCTGATTTTGCCTCAGCCATTCCACGTCTGTTCTTTTCTATGCCCAGTGTATATTTACTTCTATTCAACTATTTGGTAGTATAGACCAGGAAGGTGTTCATTTCGTACAGGTATCGAGGTTTGTCGTTATGCCCTTCACATTTCTACGTATATTACGTCCATAAACAATTTACATTTTCGACTTTTTCTCCAAAACCACTAAACCAATTTCAATGAAATTTTGCAGGGACCTTTCATGGACAATGGTCAACAAAAATAGTGGCCGGTTTAGTCCCAAGCCCCTAGGGGCCTGCGGGACAAGGCGAAAAAGGGTCAAATTGACTAAAATTTCAAAATCTTCTTCTCCAAAACCCCTGAACCAGTTTCAATGAAATTTCGCAGGGACCTTCCATGGACAATGGTCAACAAAAATAGTGGCCGGTTTAGTCCCAAGCACCCATGGGCCTGAGGGGCGGGGCCAAAAAGGGTCAAATTTAAAAAAAAATCTTCTTCTCAAGACCCAGATATGGTAGAATCAAATACTCTTCATAGATGGAAGTGTCTTAAGGTGCTTTACCAAAATTGTGAATTTCTTGACCCTGGGGTCTCACGTTTCCCCCTGGGGAGGGGATAAACTTTACTATAGTTTATATAGGGAAATCACATTTTGGACAAACATTTGTTTAATTTCCATTAGAAGCAATTAATTTGGGTTAGCATTATCAGTATAAGGTAGCAGTTTGATAGTATGCACATATGAGCACTGACTGACCCCAGGGGCTGATGGGTGGGGCCAAAAAGGGTTAAATTGACTGAAATTTCAAAAATCTTCTTCTCAAGACCCAGATATGGTAGAATCAAATACTTTTCATAGATGGAAGGGTCTTAAGGTGCTTTACCAAAATTGTGAATTTCTTGACCCTGGGGTCTCACGTTTTCCCTTGGGGAGGGGGTAAACTTTACTATAGTTTATATAGTGAAACCACATTTTGGACCAACATTTGTTTAATTTCCATTGGCAATAATTCAATTTGGGTTAGCATTATCTGTATTAGGTAGCAGTTTGATAATAAGCACATATGAGCCCTGACTGACCCCCAGGGGCTGATGGGTGGGGCCAAAAAGGGTCGAATTTACTGAAATTTCAAAAATCTGCTTCTCAAGTCCCAGATATGGTAGAATCAAATACTCTTCATAGATGGAAGGGTCTTTAGGTTTATGACCCTAGGCTCTCACGTTTACCCCCTGGGGAAAGAGGGGGGCAAAATTTATTATGGTTTATAATGGAAAATGAAACTTTGAATATTACATGTTAATAACTTGATTGGAATTATAACCTTGAGTTGACAGTTTGATACTTTGAAAATTTTGAGCCAGCCCTACCCCAAGGGCTGTAGGATGGGGCTCAAAGGAGTCAGTGTGCTAAAATTTCTTCATTTTCCTTGTTTAGAATCGGAGGTGCTAGTTTCAAATACTTTTTAGTCTGAATTCTGTACGCTAGATATTGAATAAGAAGGTTTTATTGTTTTTAGTCACTTTGAATAATATTTCTGTTCATGTTAAAAACAAAATCAACTCTCTGTATAAATATATCAGGTGACCGTTAAGGCCCATGGACCTCTTGTTATCTATAACATATACTGAATGTTTGAAAACAACTGAACGTTTGAGTATGTAAAGCATTGCGCATTTTATTGCACGTATTCAATAATGATTTTTTCAAGAGTAAATGAGTGATGAAAATCTTACTGCAAATTCAGAAATACTATCGTCAACCGTCAAAGATTTAGACAAGAGGTTAACTTGAAGTTAACATGAAAATGCGCAATATGCAGACACACACTGGTATGCATTGCATACGAACATTTCAGATTTTTTATGGGTTTTTTTAAAAACCATAACCACAATATTTTACTAGCTTAGTAAAATAATTCTAAAAAGCAACTCATACTTTAAGAAACTTGTATGAACAAATTATAAAGTAATGGATGAGCGAATTGCAGCTTCTGATCAGAACAAAATAAACAATTTACACTGTATACAACATAATATACAAAACATTGCTTCATATATATAAAAACAATCTCTCTCACTTTCACAATTTTTACAACTACACAATAATCACACGGAAAACAATATTGCACATGTAAGGTGTGGGTTGTATTCTACAAAATTACCACATTGACTACTTAAACAAACATAAACCATTACAGAGTAGGCAGGAATCTACTGCAGTGTAATCAAGTATTGCACGATAGCAATCGAGTAGGCTGTTATTGCCAACAATTACAGTGTTCCGACAACGATAAATTAATGTAAATTAATGGTCAATCCACGCCTGGAATATGTCACAGCAAAAAGGAAGGCTCTGTGTGCGCCACCTTGTTGATGATGTATATTTGTTGTGCTAATTTACTCAACGCTAGAAATGTGTGACGATTTCCACACCACGAGAATTTTCATTTTTGCAGCAACCGATTATCACAAGGTGACATGTCATTTTAACTTAACTTGTAACATTATATTATTAGAGGATACGTTATGAGATAGTTAACTTACATTGGTCATTTAGGTCTTTCCCTTGACGGATTGTTTACTGTGTCTTCTGTTCTGACGGGCTGACAAAAACGAGAGCGAACAGTGATAGATGTGAATGTTATAATAGAGACACGTTATATAATGAACTATTTACAACTGAAGAACGTGTTGCTATCGCACTTACAATATTTGAGGATTTTAATTGTACAATGTCCCTCATCATCTCGCATCTGTGACCACAGTGTATTCTCAGACCCTATGCATATCGCACCTTTATCTTCTGCACCTGAGTGCAATGTTCTCAGGTACTGGCCAGTCCCACTTAATAATTCTATTGTCTTCCTCTTCACATCCGCTATAATCAGGTTCCCAAAGGAATCGTAGTCAACTGAGAATGGACCGAATGTTTCTGGTGTAGCAAGCTCCTGTCCGCGGATACCATCCCCTCTGTAGGTAACTAGGTGATTGAGTGTACTGTCATACACGGCGATGTGCATTGTTGAGTTATATGGGAAACTGGTACAGCTTATGTGTATTACAGCTATGTTTCTCGTCACTAAACAGTTGGAAATTCTCAATGGTGGTACAAAATCTGGTTGTTCCTCATTGGTGATTGTGTGTAGAACAGATCCTGAGGCTGTGTGTATAGTTAAACTGTTTGTTGTACCCACAATTACACCATCACTGGTTATGGATAGACAAGAAGGCTTGTCCTTTGTATCGAACTTTGGTACAGGTGTTGCTGGTTCTTGTAATTCATAAATAGTTCTATCCTTACAACCGAACCAGAGACGACCCGTTTCAGGGGACACACATATATCAATAATATCACTGTGTAGTTCAATCTTCTGTTTTGTTTCACCTTTATCATTCATCTGAAGCACTGTTTTCCCGCTAGCATCAAGAATCCAGAGGTTACCTTCTGGAGTTGTACACATTGACAGAGCTACTGCTGACACTGGAAACTGTGATATAATAATTGAGTTATCGAGCAGTTCATACGAAGGAGGATGGTCTGGTGAATTTTCAGCGCGAGTGCCTGCTTTCTCGATGTCAGTGTGACCTGCAGAGCTCTCTTGGCATTGGTCTAATGTACCGATGGTGGATGTAGCAGCCGCTTGTGTTTGTGAATGGACGTCAGAACCAGTGGTAAATTTACCGATTGCCTGTTTGAGATGATCAGTGATTGTTGTACAAGGTGTGTATTGGCAGGTTTGTAATACAGGTGGGTTGGTATCTGTGTAACTCCCAAGTGTATCAAAGTCAGTGTAAAATATCTCAACATCTGTGCTTGTTTGTAGAGCCTTTTTACATTCTTCTACTGCTGCTAATACAACGTCATATCTGTGTTGTTTGTCTTTCTTCTGATGTCGTAATAACTCCAAATTACTTCTCTCCATTTCATCACAAGTAGAAGTGAAACCTGCTATCAGTTCATCTATTTCTTGTTTACATTTTTCGCCTTGGAGCTTCATATTGGAAGAAACTTTCTTGAATTCTGAAGAAGTTTCTGACATTAGGTGTTCTTTTGCTATGAGATCATCTTTAAGATGAGGAATTGTGTTCTTTTCTGAAAGGTTGACGAAATCCAACATGGCCGTTTTTTTCTCCTGAGCAAAAACGCTAAGTTCCTCCAGGTTGTGAGTCCTGTGAACAGATTTTATACTGCAAGTTGTACACATAAGAATTTGACAATCCTTACAAACATAAACAACATCTTTCAGTAGGTGGTTCGGACATTTCGTACTACCTTTCTGTCTGACAGCCTCCTGACCGCCTGATATTGCAGCAGCCATATCTCGTTTTGTGTATCATTATCTACTGTTCAGCCATTTTGTAGAATAAACCAGGAAGGTGTTCTTTATCTGTATTCGTACCGAGGTTGACGTGATGTCCTGTCTATTGTGTGTCTATTTATATCTTGCCTTTATATTTTTACGACCTGTAAAGTGAATAGAATTGACGTTTGTGTAGGGGAAGTAATTTAAAGCTCTTACCTGTAAAGACAGTTTTGCACACCTCATTTGATAATACTGCAAATTAACTGCATAATATTCAGGTGTATATGTCATTCTATTGATCAAACATTATTTTTTGTTCTATCATCATCTATCAGTTGTGGCCACAGTGTATTACCCGACCCCTTGCCAATCACAGGTACTGGTCATTCGCATTCTCTCTATATATATATATTCTACCATTTAATCATGAGTATCTCCTGTCTTGATATTTTGAACTGGATAGAATTTACGTCTGCTTTAAAAAGGCACTATTCTGTGTAATCTACTGAATCGATACCAAAGGCACCACCATACATTTGAAACACTGAATGCATTGTGTGTTTGGAGGGATGCGTGCTTGTCTAAGAATTTCGGTGCGTGCGTTCAACGCGAGGTACGGTAATTGAGGAAAGGGAAATAATACCTCGAATACCGAAAAATACACGCATTTTTGCATACTCGTACATTGTTGTAGATGTGTGTGTGAGTACTTGATGGCGTCTACTGAACTTTACAAGGCAGTTTTAGGAATATCTTTATTAACCATAAAAGATTTAGAATGAGACAAGTGGTCAATGTTGACAAATTTAAGGAAATGATGTATATTATGGTTGCTGAAGAAGACCGGTAAAGATAAACGACTGTCGTGTTGTCTGATTCAGGCTTATCATCTTATTATTCTGTCGATGGACACGCAGACATACATTTGTAATGCAAACCATCCTGGTGTGTATTGAAGACGTTACATTTCAGGTGCTATTAAAGAGAATATAACAATATTGTTTAGGCTGCCTGTCCCAAATCATGAAACCGCGCCCTAAATTTGTTTTGGATATAACTGAAGTAGAACTGGACGCACCGGGCTACTTGTACTGATAAGGTTAATCAGTTACTACGAGCGATCATGTTACGGCCCGATTTCTCACCCCGACACGATTTCTCACCCCGACACGATTTCTCAACCGATTGAGATATCGTACTAAAAGTGCTGCGGTCGCAACACGATTTCTCACCCTAACACAATTTCTCATCCGGGTGAGAAATCGTGCAAAACATATGGGTGTAGGTGACACGTTTTCTCATCCGGCACGATTTCTCACCCAAACTCTCAATTAGGGATGGATTTTGTCCGTGGTGTCATAAAACTTGCCGATCTAAACCCCTAAAACATATAAAAATTACATGTTATGCCTACTTGTTTCTATGCTTCGACTATTGAACTGACTTTTCAAGGTTTCGTCCATTTAGATAAATGCACTTATGGTCTTTATAGTATATACAAGTGTTTTTGTAATATAATGTTGTTTGAAACGTTTAACATGTAATATTACAGTTATCTTAAAAGTAAGTCAAGTGTCCTGCAACAGTTCTAGGTATCTGCTGGTCAAATATTAAGAGTACTTGGCACAGGTGGTACATACACATAATTGATAGACTACTGACGTACGATACCACAGCACAGCATTACAGACACTTCGAGGCAGGAGAGTAAAAATATTTGATACACAATGAAATTAAGTAACTTGAAACTAAATAAAAAGACCACAACAGGATCCGAGAAGATAAACAAACCAGTGTTCAGAAATTACTGAGACTGTGATAGGTGTTGCGGAAAGTTAAACGCATTTTACATCATATTATGTAATACCTGTCGTAATGTCTGTCAGCTTGTTGAAGGTCACCAGCTTTCTAAACTCAAGTGAATATATTTTAAATTATTTATGCACTGGAATGTTTTAGCTGCAAATCAGATGCAAACAAAATCCGATACTCTTTGTTATGATAAAGTGAACCTTACTTTTTAATCATACCGTATGTATTTTGTTCACATAGATTCAGTGAGGCGACAAACCGGTAGACATTTACGGTGGCCCGTTAGAGCTTTAATATGAACATGATTTATCAATTACTGCCACTACTTTATCTGGAAACGAGACCGCCAATTGCTTATGACACGGAAGTTTATAAATCTACAATATTCATTTTTGAAATGCGCAACAGAAGTCTTAAAAAATCTTCACAGATTCAATTAGACGATGAAAACAAATACTGTTGCCCAATTCATACAATGCACGTGCGCGCCCCTTCTTAAAAACATTCAAACGCAATCCGGTTCACCTAAATTAATCCGTTTCGATACTTCAACACGGATTCCGACATCATCAGTATCGTACGAGAATCTACATGTCATCAAGCCAACAACAGCTGGTCGCTGCAAGTCATTTATTCCTCGGAATTTTTGTACTTAAAATGCCCCGTGGTTTTCGAGTAGAAAAACAGATCCGTAGAAAAGCAGAGAAACAGTGGCGAAGGACCAAATCATACATTCATTAACAGATTTATAGGGAACAATGTCGGCTAGTTGGTTCACTTCTCATTCAGTCAAAGAAGTCTTATTATTTCGAAAGGATTGAAGAATGTGGTAAAGACCATAGACACCGTTTTAGACTCACCAAACATTTAATGGGTCAGAAAGGTGAAATTGTCCTACCAAGCTGTAATTCTGAAAAAGACTTGTCGAACATGTTCAGTGACTAATTTCTTCTAAAATCAGCTCGATCAAGAAAAATATGTCGGAAGTGAACTCTCCTGCTGATGATATTTCTGTCATGATTGCTGACATTAAATTTGATGGGGGACCATTGACAAAGCTCTCACCAACAACCCAGGACGAGGTGCGCAATATCATCATGACCTCGCAATCGAAGTCCTGTGAGCTTGATCCACTGCCTAGAGACCTATTAAATCAATGTATTGAAGCACTGCTTTCCTTGATTACCTCAATTATGAACAATCAATGGCGGCTGAGTCAAAGGTTCCACGGTGTTTCAAGAAGGTACATGTTAGACCATTGTTGAAGAAGCCTGGAATGGACAAGGAGGATTTGAAGAACTACCGCCCAGTTTCAAATCTGCCTTTTCTGTCTAATAATGACATAGCTTCTGCATTGAATAACAAGTGCAGAGCGGTGCTTGGCATGCTGGATTTGTCAGCTGCATTTGACTTCATCGACCATGGCATACTTTATAAACGTCTTGAGTACTCGCATGGAGTGATTTCTACCGCACTATGCTGGATACAGTCTTATCTGAGTTAACGACGACAGTGTGTTGCCATCAGATGTACCACCTCACAGGAAAAAGTAATACATTTCAGGGTTCCTCAAGGGTCGGTGTTAGGTCACGAAAATATTGCCTGTACTCTAATCCGATCCGAGAGATTTGTCGTCGCCATAGCCTTCGCTATCATTGCTATGCTGATGACACACAAATGTGCATGGTCATCAAACCACAGAACAGTTGGGATACAATTACAGAAAATCTGAAAGCTTGTCTGACAGATATCTGTACCTGGATGAACGCAAACATTCTAAAGCCTAATCCGGAAAAGACGAAACTAATCGTCTTTTCCCCAAAGTTTTAGCAAACAATGGCTCTCCAGCTCAAGGTCGGTGCCAGAAATATTGAGACTGTCCAAGCTGTTAAAAACCTAGGGATATACTTTGATCGAACGCTATTGCCAAATCCTGTTACTACCAGATAAGGAACATCGGCTGTATCCGACAGTTTATAACTGCAGATACATGCAATATGTTTGTGCATTCACTTGTTACCTCTCGGTAGGATTATGGGAACGCCCTGATCTGTGGTATATCTGACAAACGAACTAGTCGTCTGCAGAGGGTCTAGAACACTAAAGCACGGCTGATCACTAGTACTCGAAAGAAAGAGCACATCACGCCTGTGCTATATTCATTACACTGGTTAACTGTACGATACAGGTCGCAGTACAAAATGTTGGTGTACACATACAAGGCACAAGGAACAGCTCTCCAGTACCTACATTAGCTTGTTACCCGGTATCAGCCGTCGCGATTACTGCGGTCGGAGTCAGAATCATTGTTGTCTGTCCTAAAATCTCGTACTGTGACCTATGGAAACCGGTGCTTTAAGAGGGTTTCGGCCACATTGTGAAATAGCTTACCATCTGCTATTAGAAAGTCAAAAACCCTGGCAAAATTCAAGATAGACATCAAAACTCACCTCTTCATGCCTGCATTTTTGGCTCTTTGCAAAAATGTCATGTAAATACTAATATATAATACTATTATCCATATGGTGTAAAGCGCTTTAGAGTAATTTTACAAATTATATAGGGCGTTATATAAATGCTGTATATTAATTATTGTTATAATTATTAGAGAATTAACACATATGCTACCACCTCTTTTGATGGCAGTACCTGTATTTATCTATTTATCTATTATTCATATACTTTTAATTCCACTAAATATCCTAAACATAGAAACGTTTCCAAAAGACAATTTGCGCGAGATATACCGTATATAAAATAATATGCAAGTCATATCTAACAAAGGACACATTTCTTTGGCCAAAGGAACAAAGGACACGAATTTTAATACAACATGAACTAACTAAAGCAGAGGTGAAATCATTGCTCTGGAAGGGTACATACATTTCCCTTTTTTATTATAAAGTATAACAATATCTACTAGTAACAGGAACCATTACACCATAAGGTGCCGAAGCTAACCAAGTAGTCGCAAGTAATGGATCAGAAATTTATCGCAATGTCAAAATACAAAAATGTACTAGGGTTGTCAAACCGGTCTTATTTTTGTAACCGGTTACTCTTCTACCGATCGAGTAACTGGTTAATCGGTCAATTTGGTAGTCAAATAATAAACAGCAACAAATACATTATGTGTTTGGAAAACGTATTTACACCACAAACATACATGTATATATTAATCAGTATGATAGTTTACTCGTATATTTCAATGTTTACAGAGGAAATCATATGCGGTAAT